GTGTGTGTGTGTGTGTGTGTGTGTGTGTGTGTATGCATCGATCCATTCATTGGTAAATTAACCTGGAATTTGAATGGATTTCGTTAAAAGGCGTTATGGTATGAGTGGTTGAATCTCCACCCTTTGTGATGTCTCCACTCGGAGAAATACTATCAATCATTTATGTGACGCGATATGACGAAATGAATATACATATTTCACTGACGATAACACATCTAATGAAATAATGATCAATTTGAATGGAATATTGGTGTGGATTGCCAGCTGCTCTGTGCTTATATGTAACCTCGTCAATAATATCGTATCGATTGTTGATATATGGAGAGTTGAATGGGAAGAGATTCGTGACCCAATTCACATCACATCCTTACTTCTATCCTTTTTGAGGGCATATGTGGGGTTAGAATCAAAATGCACCGTTTGCAGAAGTTTGTGAACAGATAAGTGTCACTATTTACAGAAACGCGTGAAAAGATTTCATTAACCGAGCACTCTCTCCTCCGCCACATCATCGGTTCCTTATCCAAACAGTGAATAAGACAGACTGAAAGTCGCCACAAACAGATATCACATTTTTTTCAAATAGAAATGCACAGTATTGTGCCTACGTGACATCATATTAATCATTTCAAATGTTTGCTTCACTCAATATGACAGATTAATCACAAGCTTTCTCTACTTTACCAATCATCAGCTGCTCTTTTCAACTTCACAAAATGCGTGACAATATCCTCAGAAATAAATGATCCGAAATTTGAACTATTTTACTAAAATAACACATAACGCAGTGTACTATCAAAACAAACCAGCAATTCTAAGCACTTCACAAATGAAAAAGCGAAAAACAAAAATGAATCCATCTAAATGATGAATTTAAGAAAGTGTTCCGTACACTCACAAATTTGACAGATAATTTCAAAACTGTTAGTCACGTATATTGGATCCCTTCAAAGATATTTTTATCCTCAGTACTCATATCTTGCTAATATATGTCCTGATCAAACAGATATTTCATATACTACAAAATACCATTTGTTCTTTTTAAAATGCTAACAGCTAAATAACATTCATTAAACGTGAATAATGGAGATACGCGGGCCTTGCCGTACAAGAATGATCTCAATATCTCTTGGCTATCAATGTGCGGTCCAGTTAAAGAGTCACTTTTCTGTATTAATGTGGTAGTTGCAACATAGCAGTTTAGGTGATCACCTCAAAAAGTTAAGCATTGAAAGGACAAACTCCATCATACCTTCTTTCTGTTTATTCTCTCCCTGTTGGTTAACATGTTTACGGGAAGAAGCACATTGTAGCACACATTCATGCTCATAACAGTGCCACTATAATTTCAATAAATAAATATTGGCGATGATTGCCTCATATCACATTTAGTTTACCATGTGTAATTGGCCTCTCGATCTGACTCCTCACTTTAACTGATAAGTAAACCTACATACACTCCATCCATCTGTCTCCTTATCCATCTACGTCAGAGGAACACGCTTTCGATCGATAGTATCGGAAGGGAACAACAGGGAAGGAGCTGAATGTTGAAACTGACGAGAAGGACGCCCCTCGGGCACCTTCGTACAATTGTTCGTTTACATTTACCAATGTCGCACGCATTTCGTGCTCTTTGTCCCTTTCCAACACTCTCTTCCTTCCATTTCCCTCATCATTTGAACGATGTTTCAAGTTATCATCTTTTTTGTCATAACTGTAAAATCGCACTAAGACCTATTGACCTTTTCTCGCAGCAATTTATGCAGCTTGACCTTTCTATCTTCATCTTTTATGAAAAGACAAAAAGCATAGGGCGGAATCTTTTGCTTTCACTGTTAATATTTCTGTCATTTATGGAAAAAAAATCTCTCCGATGATTTCGACTGTCACAATGAAGCATATCACATATGTTGAATTCTCGACATTCTTATCCAGCAGAGTGACTCTAAAACAGTTAAATCCATAAAGAACATTACACTCAATTATATCATTTTCAGAACTCATAATGGCAACTAAAGTTCTTAATCTAACAGTCACTTCCGACTCACGACAATATCCATACGAGAAGCGATATCCCGCATCGATGACCCTTCATGAACTGAAAGTTCGTTTTGCTTTGTTTTCACAAATCAATTTTCTGCAACTCAGTTACACGCTGAAGATGATCACATCCATGATTAAAACGATTTTGTTGTTTCCATTTTAGATCAGCTGTCTTTCGAGGCATTCTATCTACTTTGTAGTTCCATTTCTGCCTTGTAGCAGTTTTGAAATCAAAGTTGAAAACAGTTAAATTTCATGATGACCTTGAATTAAGATCTTTGCAAAATGTCAGCATAAATTTCCACGGTTCTTTGTTTTTAGGAAAAATTAGTGTTAGTCGTTGGTAGTTCGACTGAGTGCATGCAAACAGAACTGCGTGACAAGGATGGGAAATTCATATCATCGTTAACTGATGATCAGGCTACTCTTGAGAAATTAGGCGTAATCGATGGTATGCTCAACATATACTTGTTGTAATTTTTAAGTATAAAAGAAGAAAAATTCTCCTTCTTTCTCAATTTTCTTTAAATCTAAACTTTCTTTTTTCTTTTTCATTTTGACGATTCTCATGATTATTATTTTTGGGGATGAAAATTCATGTTTCGGACATAGCTTCTGGCAAACCTATCGATTATGAAAATGTTTCGGCGGTTGAAAAATATATAATACCTGAAGAAAAATATAATGAACGTGAAGGTAATCTAATTTTATTTTTGTTGTTCTTAGAGAAGAAAACTTTAATATTTCTTGTTTGCCTTGAAATTACCATCATTTTTATCCAGATTCAGTGCGTGCATGGAAACGACGTGAAGGTTTGAAAATAAAATACGATGCACTTGCTTCAGCCGAAAACGAAGCAAAGCAGTTCAATGTTTGTTTACATTTCACTCAATTCAGTAGATATCGAAGAGAATCGTTTTTACTGATGTATACAATAGTGTACCTTTAATTGAATAGTTTTATTGTAAGTAAAACCCTGTGGAGTGTGGTGATTAATAATTTTTCAAGATTGGTGATCGCTGTGTGGTACATATATCGAACCAGGAAGAGAGAAAAGGCGTCGTATCTTACATAGGATTGACCAAATTTAAAGATGGTTACTGGATTGGTGTCACGTATGATGAACCAATTGGTAAGCACGATGGAAGCGTTAATGGTGAAAGGTTAATGCTTTAATCTTCTCATTAGCAATGTATAAATTTGTTTTCGGCAAAAAAACTAATACATTCTTCTGTTTTATGCATTGATTGATCTCTCTTATATTGAATTGCCTTTTCGTAGCTATCCCATTTTCAAAACTATTAACTTTCACTTTTTAGATTTTAATTTAATCATTAATTATATATTGAAACAAAGTTTCAAAAATACGGCATTTCTGAGTCATCCAACTTCCAACAAAAATATTGTCAAAATTTTTTTGGAAATCACGTAATACTGATATAAGCGAAATTTCTCCGCATTTAAATTATAAATATGCAGATATTTCACTTGCGAAAATAATCACGGTGTATTCGTACGACCTCGAGATGTGAAGAAATGTGAGCAAGAAGAAGAAATGGAGGAAATATAAACATTATTTCCCTTTCCGCTTCAATTGTTCTTGTAAGTTACTATACTAGCATTGATTATAAAGTTACTATCGATTTTGCCACGTTTTCAGAAAATCTCTTCTCATGTCATTAATTTGATTAAAACAGTTCCTTTTCTAATACTGCCAACAAAATGCTTACAGGTCCCTCTTTAATGCACTATGCGGTTCATTGTTTACCCAATTCGGCCCAAGCAATTCATGATCTCTATTTGATTTGCATTGTTTCATATTCACGCATCTAGTAAAGTAACTTGAAGGATGAATTCATTACCCCTTCAAGGATTAATGGATTTATTTCATTCTTTTGGTTATTGTCTTTTAGCTAATGTATTACAAGCTTACTTCTGCTGATCTGCATTTGATCGTTTTGTTTATATCTTTCTAGTGCTCTGGAAAGCTTATATAAAATTTTGTAAAAAGTACATATGAGTTGCTAAGGATCCGAATTGTTTATATGCAACAGTGAAACAGTATTGGGTAGTAGTCCGAAAATAATGGCGCACATCGTTGAAGGCTTCAAGTAAGCAAAGATAGTATCTTGGTTGACAAACATAGCACAAACTATTGTAAGCATAGAAATTACGGGTTGTACCCAGCAGTAATTTTTT